GAGCACATTCAGAGTTATGAACAGAATTTTCGCTATTCGGATCAAAATTTAGAAAAAATTGACATTTCTTAGCAACGCAATGATATAGAAAAAAGAAGCAGATGTATATTTTAATGACTGTTGATATGATGAATCAAATGACATAAAATATTTCACTTTCTTACTTAACCAAAAAAGTAAAAAGGTTCACAAAAACTACTTCTATGTATTGCAATGAGTATGATTCAAGATGCTATTATCAAAAGATTTTTCTTTATTTCAACTCGATATAACATCTAGTAGTTTATAAACAGTGTTTAACATTCAATCTGAAAAACTTCTTTTCAGAAAGTGACAAAAAAATTGAAGTTAAATATTTTGGATACTTTAAAAACATGTGTTTTTCGAGAAGAACAACATTTTCACAGTTTTCAATGTTTTATTACTGAAAAAGAGCATTTATAAACGGTAAGAACTAGTTTTTTTGTTGTAAACATCATATTCTATCAAATTATGTGGTAAACAAGACTAAAAACAAAATTTGCATGATGTTAGCATTATAGGCATCTTAACTATAATGCTTCACTAATTTATTAGCATTTACTGAATAGTATGTTTGTTTCATGTTTAGTATTATAAAACGCTGCTAGAGAAATAACGAAATGATGACGATACGACGATAATGATTATTTTTCAATATGAAATAAATTTTGAAATTCAATATTTCGATTCAATAAATTATCACCTTAGTTAAAGTGTGCAAGAATAATGTGTCTGTCTAATAGAAAAGAATTTAAATATGTCTTCAAGTAGAGAGAAATAAGTCGTTCGTTTTTCATCGATGAGTTTAAAATATTACATTCATACAAATAAAAAGTACATGTATAAAAATTAAAATATGTTTATGATATGCAGAAATAACAGAAAAAAAAATGAATGTTTCGAATCCAAAGACTATTAATGACTTGAAATTTTTCTTGAAATGTATATCTCTCATATTAGTAGATACTGGTTTTTGTATTGCGATCCGTAAAAGTCTTTTGAAATGTTTGGTTATTCTTCTGGTTAGAACACACAGTTTTATGAAACGACCTATGGATGTAAGCAGCGCGAGAGAGAGTCTTCTATGACAGGGTAAGTAACTTTTAGAATCGATAAGTACATTAAATCTTTGCTTGCAATAGAAGACTCCAGATCTTCTATTATGTCTAACTTATTTTCCTAATAATTAAGTAAAAGGTTTTTTAAAAATCAAAACGATTTCATATAGTTCGAAAGATATTTTTCGGGTTTTGAAAAGCGTAAAATAATATTGATCTAATCTTTTGAAAAAATTTCATGTCAAAACTCGGAAAATTAGGCATATTTTTTTATAATAATACACTAATAAAAGCTGCAATTTTGCGAGCGAATGATTAATGAAAGGGTTCTTCTATTATGGGGAATAATTTACTGTATTTGACTACTTTGCATTTATCAAAGAACATTAATAAAAAAAAAAAGCATATTTTTTTCATCTAATATTGACATATTCAAATGAGTAGAAATGTTTTTATCTATACCACCTGTTGTGCAAATTTATCCATTTGATTGAACAATTTATTTCATGTAGCTGTCTGTAATCTTGGAATTAATGTTTAAAACTTAATCATTGAACCAACCAGATGAAGAAAAAAAAAAGAACCGATACCATCATTTTTATGTCCTCTTTGTTCAAATTTTACAAGACATTGACCTATGCGCAAACACTCTTCTATTGGTTGAAAAGAAAAAAGGTTCATCGATCATCGTACCATTCTACGAATAGATCTTACATGTATATTGATGACAAAAATTTTCTCATGTGACATTCTCTACCTATCTTCAATTTCTCTTTCGTTCTTTTATCGAGAAAAAACAATCATGCTTAAGAAACAGAATGAATTTATCACTACCGTATAAAAGTTCTATTCTTGTTTACTCATTCAATATCATATATAAGTCTTAGTACGATTCTTTTTCATTTCTTGTATTTAACAAAATGAGATTACGCTTCTGTTCTTAAGTAGAGAGGATTAAACAGAACTGCTCTTTTCTTTCAGTAAATTAGAAGCATAAAACTTACTTAAGTTTGACAAATTTCTTGCCTATTCTGCTACTTTACAACGATCGAATAGAAGCAAATAAACTTGAAAATAAGCCTATTTGCATTTTTATTTATTTATTATAAACTGTATTATACCGGATCTCATTGTTGCCCAGAGTTATTTGCAGGTGCTGTTGACGTGGACGTGAGTTTTTTTTTCTTCTTTATATGCGAGAATGTCAGATCATATAATATGAGTCGTGTTCGCAATCTTTTATATTAGCAAGCTCAATTTTCACTACCTTTATTATAAGTCAGAATCCAATCTCTCTTTTTTTTTCCTTGGATGCAATTTTTGTATCTCAAAACGTTATTAGTTCTTCGCCAAGATTATTCATATTAATAGTACTTGAATAAATATTGCGAATAGAAGGAAAAAAACGCAGATAAAATCTTGTATAAAGAATATATGCAAGAAGTAAATGTATTTAATTGAATATTGTCATCATAAGAGAATCTTCAGTCATCAAACACTTAACTTAATTAAATAGATTAATTCGATAAAATTGATGAACAACATCGAGAATGACAAAGAATCTGTATATATAGATATTGAAAGCGGAAAAAATGCTATGTGATTAAATAATATGATAAAGTATTGGAATATGTCTATTCAAGATAATCTAAAATACATTTAAATTGAAAAAGTTATTAATTTTTTTTTCTTTGAAACATCAGAATATGATGATCAGAAATGAAGAAAAACGATAATTAGACTTTTTTTTCTCGAAATATTTATTTGTGACAAACTAATCTATAAAAATCGTCGATTTTTAATATCTTTTATTAAAATATTTTAGACGTATCACTCATTTAATATCCATATAATCAACCTATAGTTAAGGAGGATAAGCTTCATAATGCTTTCAAAATTGCTAGTGTGTTTGCTGTATGTAAAGAAAAAAACTTAATCATAGAAAATATGAGTGACGAAGTTATGAAGCTAGCAATGAGCATATTTGCAATAATATAAAGTATGTTATATTAAAGCATTATTTTATATATGAGTATGATTAACCTTGAAATCAAAAAAATTAATTTTATCGAACAAAATTAATTAATACCAGTTGATGAACTAGAATATCTGAGTAAAGGGCAAATATATTTTTGCTCTTTTGCAATAAATTTCATTCATCGGCAAAAGTCTGTCTCGCCCTTCTCCGTTTATTCTTGTCGCATTGAATCCCCTGGGTGTCAAGTAGATGTTTATTACATGAATGACTTAAATACTGTATTTTAGTGTAGCGTATGATTGATTAAGATTTGCTTCAATGAAGAATACAAATCATTTAGTACAATCGACTAACACTACAAATGAGATGGTTGATAGAATACTTCATGATCTGGTTATCTCTTTTTTTTTTAAATATTTTCTGGATGTATTACTTGTTTTACTTTATCTGTATTTATATAATAGACTATACCGCATTCTTGGAAGAGCTTCGAGTGGGCGACGAAGAGAGTTGAATGATCCAAACTAGTAAAACATTAAGCAGATCTAAAAAAACAGATATAACTCAATCGTGAAACTTTCTGTCAACTAACTCATTTTTAGTGTTGTTTAATTGTATTTAAAGACGTATATTCTTCATTGAAGCAAATTGTCATCATTCATACACTACACTATAATGAAGTATTCAAGCCATCCTTGTAATTAACATTTACTTGAGATCACAGAGACTCGATATGAAATGAATGAGAGAAAGAGGGAAACTTTTGCCCAAGGATGTAATACAAATATATGTTTTGATTACATAGGTTTTTTTTTATAGAAGAGAAAAATTATATAATTACGGGATTTGTCTACCCTTGGTTTTTTACAGGCTGGTAGACTATCTTAATAATGCAAAAAAATACATAAACAAAATCAATTTCATTTTCCTGAGAGTGAGATCTATAAAACTTCATGAAGAACATCATGTAAGAAATATAATGATAGGTAATGAATGAAAAAAAAAATTGATACATCCTAAAAGATTATCTCGCCTATACACTAATATATATGTTAGCGTCCAATCTCGGATTCAGATCAATGTTAGATCTCATTTTGGACTAGTCCAATGTCAGATTTGGAAAATTGTTTTTCGTTAAAGTCTCCATTTGTCTTCAGATACATGTTGAATTGGAATCCTTGTCGGTGAAATGTGTTGAGACACTCGTATTTCATTTATATCACTCATTAAAGAAGGAACTAAGTATAGAATCAAACACTTATAAATAATTTTCCATAAAAGCTGCTAATTTATAGAAGTTTATTCATAACTTCTCGAATCTTGCTTTAATTCCTACACTGACAATTGTATGATCTGGAAGATCATTGTTTTTACACGGTTCCTCAAAAAAAAAAAAAAACTAAAACAATCACTATCAAGAGGGTAGTGGAGATTTTAGTGGAAGTTGCTACCCCAATTCAATATTGGACTAGTCCAAAGTGATAATCCTAGATTGGCCTAGGCGGATCTGAGCTTGCACTAAATCCGAGATTCGACGCTAACATATATTTGTCTTATTGGATTCAATAGTTACATTGTTTGATTGTTTAGACGAAATAATAAATGAGAACTTTTGTCTTTTTCAACAAGTCTAATTAAATAAATTAAAATGTATTTTAAAAAGCGTGAATATATCAATAGTATTATTTAAAAAACAATATATCATCCTTTATAAATTTTCATTAAAAATATTCGAATAATTATTTAATCAAAAAAGAAAAAAAGAATAATTGATAAAAGTGGAAAAAAAAGATATATTAAACCATAAAGAAATTCAGATAAAGTAATTTTTAAGATTTTCAAATAATAAAATCTCTTCATAAAAACTTTATTTCAATGAACTGCAGGAAATATCTTGATTAACTTAATTGTTTGGTAAATGTTTGAAAAAACTTTTATTGAACCTATGAAATAATTTGTGACATGTTTTCTTGTACTCGTTTTTGAATTAATTGAGTAAGAAGAGTTTCAGTTTGAGGTTCTTTTTCAAGTAATTGTTTTCCTAATGTTGATGAATAAAATTTAATCATTCCATTTATATCAGATAATGTATAAAGATCTCGATAGATATCAATAATATGAGGATCTAATGATTGAAATGAAAAGAATTTATTAATAAATGACATTATTTCAGATTTATACAATGAAAGTACCGGATCACTGTTGATATTTGTTTCTAAGACATTTCGATATTTCTTTTCAGCTTCGGTTATATTAAATAAATGATTTATACGATTTACTAATTTTCTGTTTAATGAAGGTCTACTTTCGATTTCAATTAAGAAAATCAATAACAATTAGAAGAAAATATAAACGAATTTACATTTTTTTGTATTAATGAATAATCGAATGAAGTTTCGTTTTTTTTTTTGTACTTTATTGTTCTTTGTATAATGATAATAATTTAATTGATACTTGATCGCTTTTTAAATTCTATTTTCAACGAAAGATAATTCTAATCGAATATTTTTCGTTTTTTTTTGCATTTAATCTGTAAAATAAAATCTAATGTTAACAACTATATTCAAATATACAAACTAATCGATTTCATTATAAATCCACATCTCTTATTGATAAATAATTTGCGAAAGAATCGTCGTAGATGCCTCTTTCGATTTCAATGATTCTTTTTTGTCTATTCATACTATAAAGGGAGTGTTTCATAAGTTTTCAGTATCGAGTTAAATTAGTTCATATGTAAACAAAACACTAATCTCTTAGTGAATATACAGTATATTCATGTAAACTCTAACTGCTAGAGTAAATGTTTCAAATGACATATTATGGGCTGATATCTTCTCGTTTAATAATAATAAAAACATCAGAATATGATTATCAACTTTTCGAAATTGATCAATAAGATTCATTTAGATTTTTCGATAAACGATGAATATATCTTACATAAAATAATGATACGACTATAATCAAATCAGTAATTGTTTTGGTTATTTATGCAAAACTTATTGTTGAGTCACCGGTTACATAATCAGACACAATACATATACTGTGTAAATAGTTCAAAATGAACAAAAAATATGTAAGTCTATAACATGCATAACAAAAGTCATCATACTATGCAATTCAGAAGGCACTATTTAGATTTTTTGTTATCAGATTTCATATGAATTTTTTGAAAAAATATTTTACTTTTATTCTTACAAATAAAGCTTAATCGAAGGCAAACGAGGTCGGGGAATCTGAATCTGCAATCTGCTTCTTAAAATTGTTTTGAGTATTTTTCAACAAAAAACATTTCCATAACGAAAATCATTTGTTTCCTAATCAACAGTATTTTTACTGAAAAAAAAAAATTTTAAAAGAAAATGTCAATTTTTTCTTAAGTTTGTGTGTAGTGAGAAAGTCATTTTTTGATTAAACAAGGATGATTTGAATAACAAAATCTTTTTTAGGAAAAGATGAAGTGTTTTTTAGCAAAACGGAATTTTATTTATTATTTAAAATCAAAATCAAAATTTTAAGAAACCCACTGCAGACTGCGATTCTTCGATCTCGAAATCATTCGGTTAAGGTTGATATAAAAATCGAATTTTTGTGCAAAATTGCCACATCATAGCGAAAAATGTCGAAACAAAGTGGTATTTCCCTCATGAATGTCGCTTAATCACTTTATACTAAGTGAATTAAACGTTAAGTGCAAAAAACTCACCCTTAACAGTTAGTATTAAGCTTTTTCAATAACGCTTATTATTAGATAATTCAGTTTGAAGTAGAAATGAGAGATGACATAATATCTATGGGGAAACGGCAGACTTTTGCACTCCAAGTTACTTTATGCTACTTTGACTACTTTGAGTTTCCAAAACAGAACAAAAGTGTTCTGTTATGGGAATGATATCGCCAAAACAGAACACTTTTGTTCTGTTTCTGGGAACCCATTCCCACAATAGAACATTTTTGTTCTATTTTGGGAACCATTCCCATAACAGAACAAAACTGTTCTATTTCTGGGAAGTCATTCCCACAGCAGAACATTTTTGTTCTATTTTCGGAACCATTCCCATAACAGAACAAAAATGTTCTATTTCTGGGAATCCGTTCTCAAAAATAGATCAATTTTGTTCTGTTTCTGTGAAACTTTTCCCAAAACAGAACTCTTTGGAGCACTTGGACGTAATTTTAAGTAGGTTGTCGTACTTTGAAGTACTCTGACGTAATTTTAAAGTACTTTAACGTAATTTAAAAGTACTTTGAGCTACTTTAAGCTACTTTGAAGTACCTTAAACCAATTTTGTACTTTGTTGTACTTCTCTACTTCAAATCTGCCGTTTCCCCCTAGCACAATATCCGGAACTCAGGTATCGAGATTATAAAACATCAATATCTCCTTAAATACTGAGGATTTTAAGTGAATTTGGTGTAATGAGATGGATACCAAAAAATGGATATCCTCATATCGGAAAAGGTTGAGCGTATTCTGTGGATGATCATATACTTACAGCCTGCAAGTGACTGAAAAGTTCCGTAAAGGCATAGCATAGAGGCACGCTCATCGTTGCATTCAAAATCAGAGCCACATCGTCGCTGTGGTACCGAGATTTCTTAAGAATAAATGGTATGAAATCTTAGTTCACTCATACTTTAGTTATATAACTGTATCTATCTCCAATTCTATGCAACTACCTAACGTTATATGTATAAAACTAATAAGAGTTGAAAAATTCCTATGAACGGTGAACAAGAAAAAATCCATATAACAGCCGGAAAGAAAGAAGAACAAAAGAATGGAAAACGTACAACATATATGACAGAAAAGAAAAAGTTCATGACGTATGACTGATAGTAAGAGAAAAAGCAAAGAACATAGGTGAATCTGTGTAATCCTATAGATCAAGAGGAAAATTTCTTATAAATGCATCTGAAAATGATGCCAAATCATAACAATTAGCTTACACAAACTCACCTACACCAAAGGAAAATCAATTCCCGGCATCTAAGTTGTTGCCTAGACTGAGATCATCACTCTCATGTGGAAGTCAAACTCGCAGTAACACCCTTACATATAACTATACTAACATCAATACACCCATGAACACAGTAGCCGACAACTGCATTCTTTCACACAGAGATAGCTCAATATACAACCTTCACAGGCTTAATCACATTGATACGATCATGAATATATGCATCATGCTCCAGATCCAAACCGACACCGTAGAGCAAGAGTGATAGTATCTCGCTCACTATCAGGCACATCCACGCCAAGACGTAAAATAACAATGGGTATCCCCTGTCTCAAGCATGTCCAAGTACATGCAGTCATGAAAACTTTTCAAATATTCAATAATCAAATAATGAAATAATAGCTGTACACACATTCAACTACTCTACTATTCAATGATTGAACAGTTGAATTGCTAAGTCATCTTTTCAATTAATCAGTACTGGAACATTTGATTTCAATTGTCACATTTCACATGTGCAACCTCGCGCTACATCCACCCTGGCTGCAATGCCTTGTGCGTCGGTGCTGTATCGTTTGTCAGTCCTTTCATGGCACCCACACCAGGAACGATGCTCTGTGTGTATTGTTTCCTGTCTCCGTTCTATCACAGCGTCCACAACAAAATCGATATGGTGCGTGTGTAGACGCATGTGTTCGCCTTTGGCAACGTCCAAACCATATACGATGGCCTGTGTGTTGACGTGTGTTATCTATGTTGAGCTTCTGGGAAATTCATCAAAAAGCATTATACGGTAGCTCGATTACCTCTTACATGTTCAATACCCTTTATTTATCTGTTGCTTCTTATAACTCGATTACTTCTTATATCTGCACCACCTCCACTGCGTTTATTATCTCCTATATCTCTAGTACTTTCTGTATCTCTCCTTGGTGAAGCTAATGATGTTATGGAAATTCCAATAGATTTTTTGAAAATTCAAAAAAAGGCATCTAATTGGACCATGAAGATGTGTTCTTTGATACCTTTTCTCAGCGCTCCGAGAATATTCTCAACTATATAGGTACATGGATATCGAGTTGGATATATATCTCGTTACACGGTATTCACTAAAAATCCTCACTATTTAATAATAGGGTCTCCATTTTTGGGTATCCGCTTAGCTGGATATCGTAACTAGTGACTCGCTGATACCCATCTTATGGACATTATGACATCTTTGGTAAAAATAGGTGACACCTACCATCAAATGTAAATCAATACAACTAAATACCTAACTTAATCAAGTGGAATGAAAAAAGTCTCTATCTATATTCTTACCTCCAAAAGAACCCAAGAAATAATTATGAATGAACATGCTTTTACTTTCTCAGTTTCTGATGGTAGTCAAAACCATTGTTCAAGAAAATGCTATATTTTTAAAGACTATCAAGGGATGATCACTTGAAGTTTTCAGAGCTACCTGATAATACTGTTTAGGACACGTTGTTTGCTATCCACGCGACTGAATACAAACAAAATTGAAATACCACCTACCATAGTTTAATATTACGTAGAAAAAAGACCAATAACTAATACTTAACTCCTTTATGTAACGTGGTAATAATTCGCTTGACACTTAACATTAAGTTTAATTGATTTTTTTCAGCATTAGACCTGTAACACAACTCATAAACTATTGAAGTGTTAGTATTGATTCTAATAGTATTGAGTGGTATTCATATTGATGGTATTGGTATAGTTGCATACCTAATATTTTCGCTAAAGAAAGAAATTTTTGAGAAAACAGCGACCTTTTCCAAATTTTACTAAAGGTTTTCGTCACTGGAGAATTCCAATCCGTATTCAGATTCGCAAAACGTTGCCCGTGATTTCACCCATAAGTAAACCTATCCTTCTGACCGTTCATCAAACATAATATAAAATCGTGGTTTTTCCCCTAAACACTTCTTTTTAGTGGAAAATCCAATTCAGAATATTGAAAATAAGGTTTCAGATTCGGATTTTCCGACTTTGGGTACCTTCAGTTAAGCCTTATATGAAAATCGTTTTCTTCACAAAAAGAACCTTCTTAGCGAAAAAATAGGAATGTTACCATACCAATACCGGTCAATACCAATTCCGTATTTATACTGGGACATGCCTATTCGAGAAGACGTAGATGCTTAGTATAGTTTTTTAAGGAGACTATACATATTTTATTTTAATATATTTACTTTATCTATTTATTTCTTGAAAAAGTAAAGTAAATGTGCCACCACTACCTCTAAATGTTGGAATTTCGAAGATCTTGATAATGTGACTTTGAGGCGCTTTGGCACTAAAAATAAACGTCACCAGTCATTCAACATAGTCAATATCTCCTCTCTACACCCATTTTAGCGTGGTTGAAGATGAATTGGCCGATTTCTCGGTTCTTGGAAAAATGCTTATAACTCCTGAATGGAGCAAGCTAGCGAGCTTGGTTTAGTGCAGATCGAAACAGAACAATATTCTCTATCGAATGCATCCATTGAAAGTTTAGATTAAAATAAAAACTAGTTCCAGAAGACAATCTATAAAATGACCAGCAAAAATTCAGCTGATTGTTTAATTACTTGATCAATCATATTTCAGGTGATTCTTGTAGTCGTCAGGTTGCTGTTTCTCATGGTGAAAATCGCAGTTTTCTATCGCGTTTCTATCAAAAGTTATTCAAAAAATACTCAGAAGCCTTCTAATTTTCAATGGATATTAGTAGCATGAAAATACAATACGACAAAATAGAATGATTATGTGAAAACGATGATGATTATTTTGTTCATAAAATCTTTCAGATGTATCATAGAATACAAGAACTGTCCTTTTCCGATTGGTCCTATCCAGTGTTTCATGCAGATTTTTTCTTGCGGAGGAACGATTTAAAACTTCAGAAAGAACAACACTTCTTTTTCAGAGTATAGAAACACAGTACGAGTTAAAAATAACCTCAAAATCCGACAGGGTCAATCCGATTTTCGGAGATATGCTGTCTCCATGACTTCCACTTTGAATAAAATGCTACTACTATCATTAATTTCACTCTGTTTGCTATCTTTGTGATGTTCCTTTCAAGGTAGGGGTGGGAGGGTGTGGGTGTGGGAGTGTGTGGATCTTTTTATTCATCCATCCACACCCCACACCCACACCCACCCTTCATTGATAGAAACTTTTTCACTCAAAAAGTATTCATTACAAAACTGATGTACTTTTTGTGTCGTTAGATCTCGATTGATTGATCGATTTGACTATGAGGTACTTCAATTCAGACGATAATCAATTATTATACCTATAGAACGTAGTAACACAAAATTCATGTAAAAGTAACACAGTTGATCGCCTTTACCTTGATGAATCGTATCGAAGAATTTAAAACTGTAAAAGTTAAAAATTACAGAGGTGAAGGAATATGCTACAATTTGGAGTACGAAGAAAACTATTGTGAGAATTATTAGATATACATAATTGAGGATCAAATAAAATTCTATTGAATTCACTTTAACCAAAATTATATATGGATTGCTTTGAAACATACTTAGTGATAATATTCGGTCATACTATCCGCAATTACGAAAATATTCCTTACCTATTATATGACATTAAAGCTTGATGAAAATGCAACTTCTGATATGTCGTCCGACGTGCGACAAGTCGCTCTGCAAAACGTTATAAATGGCTTTTCAAATAAAGATATTCATCTCTTTCGGCTGTGTCTTTTCATTTATCTAGAGAAGTAATGAACATAACTGTTTAAAATATATTTTTGAATCAAAAATAGAGTTATTACAAAAAATAGTTCGAAAAAAGATTTTTTATTATATAATAAATCATACCTCTTTATCATACGAATGAATCCCTATTCATAGAAAACAGAAAGTTGATAACATTCTAACTATCAGTTTCATAATTTCTGGATGTAGATTGTAGGTGTGTGTAAGTCTGGTTGTGAACGATTTCCCATCAACAACACTTACACTCTAATTTTAACATCGATTGATAATCATACATTATCAAATGATCTGAGATGGAAACATTGAAATAAATAGTGAATTTTTTCTTCTCAAGAATTCAAAATAGCATAGAAAAACATCGTTTACTTTCGGTACAGTACGCTTGATGATTCATTCTTTCTTATCTCTCTATTTCAATGCTTATGACCTCACAAGCATAGTACATGTGATAACACGAATTGCACAACATGAATAAACGAATAGCATAAGAGACAAATGTGCAAAGTAATATTATGGATCGAGCCGCGATTCTGGAACTACAAAATTGCCGTTATCCAAATGAGCCAATAGCATATGGACGCAGAATTTCGGTTCTGCAGTTTCGGAATTAAATCTACACTCGATCTCAATTGAATTTTTTTCTTAAATCTACTATACGGCATAAACTGCGGACTGCTAGGTGTTCAAGATTGCTGCTCAATCAAAATCATATTTCGGACTTGCCTTTTTTTTGACAATTTTTCTAACAATAAAATGTTTTTGCGACTGCAAAAATTTCGATATATTCCTATAGAAAATGAATGATTTTTCGAGAAACACCATGGTTCATCGTAGCAAGGCCAAAAGAAAAACTGTTGAATGAATAAATGTACGTTTCTCTATTGGGGAGTGTAGGTGCTGCTTTTCTCTACATCCTCATTCTACAGCCACAATAGAGCTTTAAAATATGACGAGTTAGAAAATTTATATTGAGATAGAATCTTGATTAAAATGAAATAAGTTTAAATTATTATGTTTGAAAACAAATGTAAACAATTTATACAATTTAGACACTAGTTTAATTGACGAAGCTTATTTCATTTTACGATATAATACAATATTTTTTCTCGTTTTCTCCTATATTATCATTCACACCATTTTTGCTTAAGAAAAACTATAAGTTATAATGTTCTTTTATATTGGCAATGGAATATTTACTAAAGGAATACCATATAAGAATAAACTTATTGCAATCGGTCTTATACTAACTAATAAACACATTAAAGAAACCTTGTAAGAATTGTTTTTCTTTTCTTCTACATCTATATAACATTTATAAACAAGGCGGCATATGAGACGAGACATTTGATGCATTCCCCATGATAATCTAGAATATGTAATCAAGTGAAGGTGGCTGTAGGCGTCTGTGTAATATCATTTCGCACATCATAGAAATAGAGTTATAGTAAAAGAAAAAGGAAAGCTATAACGAAATATCGTTTAGTTATATGTATTTATGCATCAGCATCAGTGTAAGTATATTTGCCTAATGTATAGCTCGCAAAACAATAAGAAGATAAAATAAATTTTTATCGAGATTATTCAATCATCACTTGAAATAAAATTTAAGTCAATAAGTTCTATATTCGTAATATTAATTCTTTAGATAATATATGTTAAATCTGTTATGAACTAGCGACATCTTGCTTAGTTGAGGTCACATTACGAATAAAACAAACCAATCGATATGTGTGCCCTTTTTTGCCTTCCGGTTACCGTTTTTTTTTTTTTGTAGTGTTCTTTTGTTCGTAATCTGTTCTTGGTTTGTATCAACATTTATACAGTTCTCTCTGCGTTTTGTTTTGTTTATATAAAAAGTGAATAACCTTTTACAATAATTTTTTATTCGTTATTCTTTTTTCAGAGTAGCCATCTGATATCGAAGCTTGCCCGTCCATAATAGTGGACGTGACAATGAATACAAGCTTCAGCAATGAATTACAACAATTACAAATGGAGCTTCGTCTGTTATTTTAATTTATTTGTAAAATTTTAATATTTAATTTTGTAATTAATTTCAGGTGCTCAAAATTTTGATATTATTCGTTTTTCAACATATCGTACAGCGTGTAAATTACGTTTTATTCAAAAGAAACTTAACTGTAAGTATTTTAAAATTGTCATCTTATTTTTTTTTCTATTTTCATCAATTAAATTAATATATTGAATTTAAAAATTAACCATAAAATATTTTTAAGATATTATATTTTATCCATTTGATTAATAGTATTATAGTGTATGTTCTTCGAACAGATTTGTTTTTCATTTCTTTACAAAATCAAATAATCGACTTAATTATAACGACTTGTTTCTTAATTTACTTTACTAAACGTTAATTTATTTTTGCAACATTTTTTTAATTTTTACCGATTTACGACATGAATGATAGTTCATGACATAGATTCTATTTTGATAAGTTATTAATCAGGATTAATAAAATATTAATAGTCTGTAAGGATAAATTATGTATTAAAAAGATGACGTTACAGTAATTCAGATTTGAAACCTATGAAACTGATTATATGAGATAATTTGTTTTTTTATTATGCATGCTTTGAAATGAAGTTCATTGAAAATAAAACGTTTTGTTTTTTTCAAAGAATTGAAATGTATAGTAGAGTGGATTAAAGGAAAATTTGGTTTTTGATAATTATGTTAACTAAATAATTTCATCTAGTAGAAAATTTACTTTAGATATTCAGGTAGATCAAGCTAGATGATTTTGTAGAGAAATGAAAGACATATATTTTTTGACGAAGAATTGCATAAATAGATGAACTGATGATGAGACTATTCCAGTAAATATTAAAAGAATCATTCTTTATGCATCATATCTTATTTTTAGTTGTTTTCATGAAAAAAAGTCTTTGATCTTTACAAATATCGACTAATCTACTCTGTTGGTTTTGCAATTAAACTAATGTATTCCCTAAACCCATAAACAGTCTTATAAGGAAACATATTTAACTGTTAGACACCGTTTGACTTCATATTATAGCTATGGGTAGGCCTCAGTGAAACTAAGAAATATTTAAAAGAATTCGAGTCGATGGTTGACTAATGAAGCGCTATAGTCGTTTTAATGAGATTTTTACTGAACCTAATATATTTCCGAAAGAGTCAAAATAAAAGAGTTTTGACTTGATATTTTTTCTATAGACATATTTAATAGTGATTAGACGGTTCTAATGTCTGTATCGAGATATTATATTTCCAAAAACAATCCTTTATCACAGAAGGACACAATAATCTACTCTATTTGGAAATTGAATATCTCGATAGAGGCATTAGAAAGGTCTAATCACGATTGAATCTGCCTATGGGCAAAACTTTTGGTCAACACGCTTGGTTTTGGCTTTTTCCAGAAATGTCTTGTTCTCAGTACAAATTTCATTAAAACGATCATAACTTTTTATTAATAGATCATAGGCTTGAATGGTTTTGTTTTTTTTTAGTGTCATCAAGACCTACTCCGAGTCATAAAATAAAGGCAAAAGATATTCGATACTTGGATATGTTCTCTCTTATGTATTTTCTTATCTTAATTGATTTCTTTATTGCTGACACTAAAATTGATTATCTATGCAATTTTGATCTAATCATTTACATTAAGTACAATGTACAAAATGTTTATATTAGTGACAAAAACTGAGCTCAGAATATGTTATAAAGAAATTCATAGTGATTTAAAAAATGAAACTTAAGAAAATGAAGATTTTTAAAAAGTTTATTTTCAGACGGATATGGTTTTAAATACAAATGATATCAACATTGCCTTTTATAGTAAATCAAAGTACCGAAATGATAGACATATAATTGAGGATTATGGGTAATTAATTGCGAAAAACAAATAGATCTTAGAAAAGGATTTTTGATCAATAAGTGACAATGGTCGAATAAAAATACTGAAAAACTCAAGACAAAACATATAATCAATTTTTTGACTTCAACATCGTTATGTATCAAAAGGATCGGCAAAGAAAATTCTAAAATGTCGTGAGACCTATTTGTTTTTCATGGTTGATTATTCATCGTTGTCAATTATACGGTTGACATTTTTTTAAACTTCCGGTAATCCTGTCGTTCATGATGAATCTATGAACTACTATATACCGTGTTTAATGAGCGTTCGTTTACAGTAAAATTCATTGTTGATATCGTTGGTACTTATAATCTTCTCCTTTCCCTCTGAAAAAATATTAATTTCAAATCCTACACAATGAATTTTATCGAAGTCTGATTAATATTGTATTATAGAATAATGCTAAAAAGTTTCAATCAGCTAACACGAGTCTTTGAGATTTTTCATTTCAAACTGAATGTTGTAAAAAAAAAGCGTTCACTTCTTGCCAACCATGGAAGATTCCAAAGTCTAACAAAATAAGTCTATTTATCGACGGGAGAAGAGAGAAAGGACCTTACTATGTACAAAAGATGTGAAACCTCCCATTCATGCATAATCAACTGCATCCTTATTTATCTAATCAGGTGTCTCGAGTAAATCATTACGACATATACATATGCGCACTCTTCATATCTTCTATTTTCTTGATGACGCATCTACTAGCTCTTGAGAGTAATCTATTATTATATATCCCTTGTTTTGGGGTTGGTAGAGCTAGGGGCAGAGGGCCCCTTACGTTTATTTATATTCATATATATGAATAATACTAAAAGCCTTCCACTTCTATTTGAACTCAAATGTATATATTTTGTTGAAATTGAAATTGAAAACTTAATTTAAAAATCCTGTATTTAGTTCATCTTCTCGATTTATTAAATGTAATTGAATCACTTCGAGAATGTTTAACTTGGCCATCATCTGAATTAAGTTCAAATAGTTTATCACCAACAAGTCGTCGTACACCAACGCCAATACATACGTCATTATCAAATAATGATCAATATCTTTCAGTAAATCGTTTAACAGCATTTTTAACATCAATTTATACAAACTTAAATAAACGTTTACCATCATCACAACAAATTCTTCATATTGATAATTGCGTTCATTCAGCTATAGCTTGGTTTTTATACGTTTATAATAATAATAATAATAATGAATTGCCAAATAATAATATATCTATACGTTTTAATTCATTTCGTGTTGTACTTGTACTGTTATGTACAGGAAAATTAGTTGATAAAATGCGTCATTTATTTACATCATATTTATCATCATCAATGAATGCATTAACATATGGACAAATTGATGAACTTTTGCATGAAATTCTTGCATTACCATATGCATTGCAAGAAATATCATATTCAACATATCGTTCGAATAATGCACAATTAATGTTTTCACATTTATCAACAACATTAGTTAATCTTGATGATTTCCTTGATACATTAATTTATAATGATACAACACCAAATTGCTTACAATGGTTAATAATATTTCATCGTTTAATCAGTGTAGAAAATGGTAAATTTTCTTTTTTGTTTTTAATATTTAATATGAAATAGTGAATATTTTGTTTGTTTTTTCAAGTTATTCATCGGGTTAAATGTTCAGGTTGTCAACGTGCATCATTTTCTGGTTTTCGTTATAAATGTCAACAATGTCATGATCGAACATACCAATTATGTCAAGATTGTTTTTGGCGTGGACGAGTTTCTGATCAACATTTACCAACACATGAAATGAAAGAATATACTTTTTTTACATCACCTGTTAAAGAATTTCGACAATCAATTCGAAGGTAATATGAACTCATGAATATATTATCTAAACACCAAATTGATATTGTCGAATTAATAGAGAAAAGTCAAATTTAGAATTGTGCTGTAAATAATTATAACCAAATGAAAAAAGAATTGTTAAAATTTTTAAAGTAATTTCGATTATAGTGAATTTCAAAAACGATCGATCTGCTCTGCCATAGAGTATTTCTTCGTAAAAAAGGGAAAAGATACGAGGTAATAATCTGCCAAATTAGCAATAGTAAATTGTTTGATCAAAAACTTTGCAAGTATTTAACTATTGTCTCGATTTGCTACTAACTTTTAATAAGCTTTTCTAATGTTTCTTCTGATAATATCAGTATCTCATGATATGTAAATCTAAATAAAGTATTATAAGACAAAGAAATATATTTTTCTATCTGTTCTGAAGTCATTTTCGAGAGTAGATTCTAAGCTTGATATTAGACAGTAAAAATCAACCAAGCAGATAATTGTTTATTGTATTGATGTATTCGCTAAACTTTACTCTTGAAAACTAACTCATACTGATATCCGCATGATATTTTGTTGCTAGAAGAAATAAATTTTTGAATCTTTTTTTTGTTTTTTAACAATTTTTTGTTTTGTTTTCAATAGATCATTTCAATGTATGCCAAAAAATGAAGAACGTCGTCCAAATACGACTTCATCCTCATCATCCTCACCACGTTTCTTTTCATGGAAATGTCGAAATAGTAGTACAAAACGAAATCAGCAACTAATGAGACAGCACCAACCAGTACAACCACAACAACAACAAAATACACCAGTATCAGTATCATCACCATCAAGTCCACTAATGATCGAAAAAGAACAAATATCATCATGCTCATCACCACAACTTATTCGACTCAGTACACCAAAACCGTCAAATCTTGATGAGCAACGATCATTATTAACAACAAAAACTGACATTAAAAAAATTGATGAAAATGGAAATGATTCTGATATGGATGAACATGTACAAATAGCATATTATGCTCAACAATTAGCATCTATTGGTGAAAAACAAAAACACAACCCAACTGGTATTCAACCACCAATAAGATTTTCTTCATGTCCAATGAATTTACAAACTAATAATCAATATTATTCAAGAATGACAGCAACAACACCATCAGCAATAGTACCAATGTCATCTATTCGATCAATGCACATGGATCATCAAAGTGCAGAAAAACGTTTAATTATATCTAAACTTGAAGCGCAAAACAGGTAAAATTAATAATTGATATTATCATGTGCTTTTATATACTATTAAGTCAATAAGTATAAACACGATTACTCATAGGAATAAGACAAAAAACCTAAATATGAATAATTTCAATTTCTTATAACATTAAACAAAATTCTATAGAAGAATTTAATAAATTGATTTTAATTGATCGTTAAAGATAAATTCGTCAATGCATTATTAATATTTTTTCAGTTATTAGCACCAGTGTTCACTAAAACATTGAATTACATAGCTAGAAAAAAAAAATCATATTCTAATAGAGTTAATATCTCGATGTCACAAGGAACACTGATGTCAGTGAATTGAATGCCTCAGGGGTTCTGTGTCGATGACTCACTTTTCAGTATTTACATGAACATTGTACATCCGTAGAATAAAATATTTCAAAAAAAAAAATAAAATACTAAACCTCTTCTACAATAGAAGGCTCGAGATCTTCTACAGTGTCTCATTTATTTTTTCATATTTAACTAAAAATTTTTTTTCAAAATAATTTCGAGGATTTGAAAAGAGATTTTAGAATTCCATAAATAATATTTATTTTAGTCTTTACAGACTTTTAGACTCGAAAACTTGTCATATTTTAATCTAAATATACTAAGCAGTTACACTTACAATTTTACGAGAGATCGATTAATTAGTAGTCTGCTATTGCTTTTGAATTTAAAAGGTATTTATATCTCCAAAAAGAAAACAAATTCTTTTCTCCTAACTTTTCATTTTCAATATTTCTTCCAATCCTAAAATGATGAATTTTCTTATAATTATTTATTCTTAGACGTATTCTTCGTGAAATAAATACATTACGAACTCAACTTAAACGTCGTAATTCACTTGATTATGCCAATTCAAATTTACCAAATGATTTTCATGCATATAGTGATACAGATGCATATACAACGGGTCTTTATCCATCATCATCTGGTTTATCATCATCAATGAATCGACTTGAACAACGTTACACACAAACGTTACCACATCAACGTACAAATCCACATAATGAGTTATCATCTTATCATCAATATCAACAATCTCAATCAACACGTAGTCGTATTCATCAAATGAGACGTGCTGGTTCAACAGAAACAAATCCATATTTAGAGCAAGAATTACAAACATTATTATCACGTAAACATCAATTAGAATCACGTATTGATCATTTACAACAAAGTCGAGAAGAATTAACAACACAATTGGATACACTTGGTAAAATTTTACGTTATTCACCTAATACACAACAACGATCATCGACAATGAGTCCAAATGGTCGTTTAAGTGTTTCACCATCACGAATGGTTTATCATACACATGGAAATACTTCAAATACAAGAAAAATTAATCCTAATGTTTCATTTCGAAGTTATTCAACACCACCAACACCTCTTCATGATTTATTAACACCTACTGGTAATTTTTTGATAATCTTTATTTTTCTTTTTCCTCAATCAAGGATACAACAGTTGATTTCAAGTTTGACATATTTTTGACTCGTTCTCAATTATATATCTAAACGAAAAACTTTATCTATTCAGTTTTCTTATTGAGATTCTAATGGCAAGAGTTTCGAATTCCTTTTTGTCAAAGTATTTTTACTTGATTTTGTTATGTTTTTTTAAGAAACAAGTATCAACGAACCAATATCAATAAGTCAACATACAAAATCTCTACGAACCGATCTTCTTATAGCAGCTGATTCATTAACATCAGCTATGTCATCACTTGTTCAACAATTAAATACTGGTATGAAAGTCAAGCAAAAAAATAAATAAATAAAATTTGTCAACTTCTTAATATCTATTATTTGTAGAAAGTTCTGAATCTCTTCCCACAACAGTTAATAATACACCATCTAAAAATGGATATAATTCTACAAATGACAACAAAACAAATTTTAACGACAAACTACTTCCGTAAAGGATTATTATCAAACAAAAAAAAAAAACATAAAAATAATTTTCTTTTTAATTTTTAGAAAAACTTCAATTACTAGTAGTAGTACCAATAATAATAATAATCCAAATGATATTATTGAAAATGATAGTGGAAGTCGAACGGATGAAGAATCACTTCTCACATCGGATGATGAAGATGATGATGAAAGACGTGAAGAACGTACAACAGATGATGATCTTTTACGAACAACTGATGATGATGATGCTGGTGGTGGTGGTGGTGGTGGAATTGCTCAAGCAATAAATTCATATAGTTTATCATCAACGAAACGAATAGTAAGATAAAAAAAAAGAAGAGAATAATTATTTGACGTAAATAATTTTGTTTTGTTTATTTATGTTAAATAGGAGCCTTTGACAAGCGAACAACAACAGTGATATTCTTCAATAAATTTCAATTGTGTTTTCTTTTGTTTTTTTTTTCTTGTTTTGTCTACCTTCCATATTGCCAATTCTATTTCTCAGGGATAGATATTTAAAAAACAAAGCGTTATCTTTTTTGCTCATGTGTCAAACTATACTCAGTTTTGCTTTTCTGTTTAACAGATGAGCGAAAAAGATTTTACAATGAAGATCGAATATTCGATATTTATATGTGGGTTTTATGGAAGAAAAAAAAATCAAAACTTTTCTTTTTCTTTTTCTTGTGCAGTGGTAGTTTTTGACTAAATTCGTATTTATCTGTGTGTATATTCGTGTTTTTTTTTCCTTTTCGATACCTGTGTATCGATATCTTTGTTTACTCGTTGTTTTTCTTGTCTATTTATTACTTATATGTTTTCAATTTAAAATACTTACATCAGCAAAAAAGAAAAGAACAAAATTTGGCAATTAATATAGGCAAAATATATTCATTTAAAAGATAACAAACAAAGAAATAATAACAATAGAAAGTAAAATATTTGGATAAAAACAAATACCATGATTCGTTATTATCGATGTAGTAGTACTACTACTAATAGTGGTTGCTACTGTTGTTGTTGTTGTTGCTACTGTTGTTGTTGCTACTGTTGTTGTTGCTATTGTTGTTGTTGCTATTGTTGAGTTTACACGAGTAGTAGGATCTGTCAGTACACTAATTATAGTTGTATCTGTTGACTCATCTGTAGGCATTGTTGAGCTTTCTAAAACCGTTGTATCAGACGTAAAATCGGTCGATTCAAGAGTTATTCCTGTTGTACTGCTATTGTCTGCAACGACATCTGTTACAGTGTTATTGGTATCTATCAATGGATTTGTTATATTGCTGATATCAATCATTACTGTTCCTGTGGTATCAACGTTGGTCGCATTAGTTACCATTTCATCACTGGTTTCAAGAGGTGTAGTTGCTGTTGTAATACTATGATTATTCATTTCTATGACTGTTGCCGTTTGATTGTTATTCAATACAGTAGTTTCTGTAGCGTTTGCATCAACAACTATTACTGAGTCATTTTGGGCATCTATTTGTGAAACGAATAGAGCCAAAAGCATAGTAAAAAAGATCTTGATCATAGTATTATTGAATTGACATGACATGATTATAATTACTGAAGAAATAACATGAAATTATAAAGAAGAAACTAATGGAAATACATTAGAAATTAAATTCTAATTAAAAGAAAATTTTGAAAAACTTGATTTAAGTGTAATTAGATATATCAAAAAAAAATATATTGTTCTCATCTTTCGAATAATTATAATCAATTTTCTAACGACCAACTAGATTGACAAATGTGAACTTTTCTAATAAGATAGTATAAGATGTGCATAACGCAACATTCGAGGGAATTTCAGTTTTCATTGATTTATATATGGTTTGATACAACTCAAAGAATCTGTCACGAATATATACTCTTTTTTATTTGAATTAGATTACCTTTTCGCTGCAAAAATCTCAAAATACTGATGAGACTACAGATGTAAGCAAAATCATTTTTTGTTTCAAAATACTTTTTAAGTGTTTCTATAATCTTTTTTTCTATACTATGTAAAAATAGGTTTTTTTTCTGATTTATCATCAAAATCTGAATAGAAAAATATATATTTTTCTTAGATATATAAAATGAATAACGTAAAAAAATCGTACTTCATATATGTAGGCTTAAACCATGTGTTTCTAGGTATTTTTGTTAATCTATCTGGTTTTTTTTTTAATGACAGAAAGCAAAATCAAATGTCTTATCTCATATGGATAAGTTGGTTTCGAGTCAATAAGCATACCCATTTAATTTTATTATTGATAAAATCAAAGATTCTTTTTTTCTTTTAGTTAATAGTAAACGAGCTGAGAATAGCCCTTTTTAATGCAATTTCTATTAATAAAGCACGGTTGAAAAACAAAATATTCGAAATCAGTGTGAGAATCTACATCGAGCCATATATATTTTAGCAAGTTTTGTATCAAGTGCAAAATCTATTAGAAGTAAACTTTCAGAAGAAAATGCTAACGGGGGGTAGTTCAAGTGTATTTCACGTGAAAAAGTGTTTTTGCTAAAATATATGTAGTTCGATGTAGATTTTCACGCTGATTTTGAATATTTTGTTATTCAAAATGAATTTTGATAATAGAAACTGGAATAGATAGGGTCATTTTTGACCTTTTTACTACTAAAACAAGGAAATGTTCGGTTCTCTCACCAATAAAACTAAATAGATACTTTTTTTAGCTGAAACCTATCTCAATCGAATGAGATTAAACATTTAATGTTATTTTCTGTCACAAAAAATTAGCTAGGGTTACAAAATTATTCATCGAGACATGCTGTAAACCTACATATATTGAGAGCGAAATTTTACGTTATTTATTTTATATCTAAGAAAATAGCATTTTTTTATTCAGTTTCTTTTGTGTTGAATTAGAAGAAAACGTATTTTCAAAGAGTTTAGAAAGCAGATGATACAAACTTGAGAGTTATTTTGAGAAAAAAGTAATTTTGCTTATACCTGAGGTCTTTGTTTTCACACCAAATGAATTAATCTAATTGAAATAAAAATCATATATTCGTAGCCAATTCTTCAAGGTATATCAAACCATATGTAAACCAATGAAAAATAAATTTATACGAATTTTGTGTTACACGCACTTTAAAATTTCGCATAAGAACTCAAATTTATGAAAACATTTAGAATTGATGATAATTTGTAGGATCATCGAATAATATGTAATTATTTTTGATGATTTATGTCTCTTTTTGACAGAAAAATTTATTCAATGATATAATTTTTTTCAATTGATTTGTTTTAAATACTATGAAGACAAATAACTTTTTCAGAACATTACTTATTGTTTAAGTTTTCTTAAGAATAGATAATTTCAACATGAGATATTTAATGACAGATTTATATATAAGACAACAATCAAGTAGAAAATTCGAATAAGAAAAACGAATAAATGTTTTTCAATAGAACTTCGATCTATTATCTTTGATTTCAACCTCAGTGTATGAACGTAAAATCTGATAACCAATTTTTACACAGTTTAGAAAATTTTACTTATAAAACAACAATGTCATGGACTGTGTTTTTTTTTATATGACAAATTTCATCAATCTGATTTTGTCTTTTTATATATAATGAACAATGATTGATAGGGATATTCTCATGTATTTTCTTTGTTAAACAATAATTGACTCATTGTATTATAGTTTACTTTAAGAGTAAATGAGAAAAAAAATGACAAAAAATGAATTTTTATTTCTTCGTGAATAAATTCTACATACAGAAAAAATTAATTTTACAAGATACAAATAGCTTCAACTATTTTAAACCAAGATTAACAACTTCTCAAACATTCAAGGATAATTTAACTTATGACGATACTTACATTTATTTCGCAAATGATTATTTTTGATCTATGAATGTATATGTAACTATTGTATGCCTGAAGACATTTTTTCTCGTACTTTTATAGTCAGTGTGTCGTGTATAAAAATAGGAGACGTCATTTAGGATCTATATAAAAATGATCCAAAATATGACATAGAGGGAAAATAAATGCACTACGTAAATAAATGATGAATCAGTATCGTTCGTTATTACTTTTTTTCCCCAGATTTTAAGATAACGATTGATGAAATTAGTGACATATCATGGAGCACGTTTGCACCGTTTACCCGCATGACAAGTTTCTTTTTTTATGTACTTCTCTTCGTCATAAGTCAACCTTGACGTGCGAAAAATTACCTATTAAAAGAAACAATCCCATAAAAAGGCGTATGTGTATAAAAGATCGAAGGTCGTTATTACTGTAAACGACAAATTTATTAAATATTTTTATGTAACTTAATATAATTTAGTGAACAAGATTGATGTAAACAATGTGAAGAGAGAAAATTGTGATAAAAATAATCAACGAAAAATGATATCACATAAGCAATGAAGCTGAACAAGACAACGAATAAGCCACATAAGCAAATAAAATTAGTTCTTTTTTTTTCATTTTTTCTTCATTTTCATCATACTCCTCTGATGACTATTGATAAAACCAGACTAACAATTAATGACATTGGCATAAGAATCAATGATTGTTGGACATTATCGCATGAAGCGCCTGCAGCACTTGAAGTAGCGTTTGTATGCGCTGTTGTAGTAGTTGCATTAATAGTTGTATTTGTTGTTGTATTACTAGCAGTAACTGTTGCACTTGTTGTTGTAGTACTTGCAGTAACGGTTATACTTGTTTCTATAGCACTTGCAGTAACAGTTGTACTTGTTTCTGTAGTACTTGCAGTAACGGTTATACTTGTTTCTATAGCACTTGCAGTAACAGTTGTACTTGTTTCTGTAGTACTTGCAGTAACGGTTATACTTGTTTCTATAGCACTTGCAGTAACAGTTGTACTTGTTTCTNTCCCAAAAAAAAAAAAAAAAGGTATTCGTCCTTCGAAATTTAAAATCGGTTCATCCGAAGAAAAAAGAATCTGGATAAAACATTACATAGGTTGGTGCACAATTGCCCAGAACTAAAGCCTTGAATCATAAAGAATCATGTGAATAGATTTTTCAGCTAGAAGGCTTTGCCATATTATTTATATTTCAATAGTGTCAATACACCAAAGGCGACATATTGTATACTTTCCTTCATGTTCTAGAAAAGATTCGACCTATTCGGTACTTGTGATAATATATAGACTGCAGAGTTCTTAACTATTTACCATATGTTTTATATCAATCTAAATAATTACTTTATTATTAGCTTGAAACTTATTAATAAGATTAAATATATAGTTTTCTTTTTAAGTAACGTTACAAAACTAAAAAAAGAACTTAATTTTTTTTATGCGTACATTTATAAAAAAAAAAAAATTGAATTATTTTTCATAATTTATTTCTAGTAGTCAATCAAATAATATAAATCAAAAATTTGGTACTGTAATTAATTGTAATTTATCATTAAATGAACAAACACGTTTTCATACATGTGATGAATTAGCATCATTATTTGATGTACTCTATTGTCAAATTGAACAATTAATAATTAAACAACAATCTCAAGCAAAATATTTTTTTGATAATGAAACAATAATTATAATACTTTTTAATGATAATGATAATGAACAAATAAATATAGATAATAGTTGTCGTTTAGCAATAGAATTATTTCGTTTTATACAACATGTTAATAATGTAACACAATGGTGTTTAACATCTATAATAGCTATTGATTATAATGAATTAAATATTTTATCATCGGAATATATTCAAGGTTTAGCATATGATTATGCTCGATGGTTACGTGAAGAATGTCTTATTATTAATCGTATACATGTATCATCAAGAATATATAATGCATTAAAAGAAAATAAATTTTATGAATTTCATTCTTATACATGGTTAACAAGTAAAAATTTTATGGGAAATAATTTAACATATTTTTTATTTAGTACAAATATGTATGAATCACATAAAAATTTAATAACTCCAATAAATAATTCTAGTATGATTGATCAATTAACACGTATACAAGCACAATATCACATTGAAAAACATTTAGGTACAATAACATTAACACGTTCATTACGTAAAAGAAGTTTAATTGAATTAACAGCAAAACATCTTTATTGGTTAAGTTTAAATTTTAAAGAACAATATTTAAATAATGATCAAAATCTTAATTGTGATTTTCAATTAACACATCGTGCAAATCGTCCAAATAATTTTATTTATGTTTTTATATTATTTATTTTAATTGGATCATTATGTCAATCATATGTTATTAATCATTTAACATTATATTATTTAATATTATTTCCAACAATTATTATTGGACTTTTATTATTAATTATTTTATTTCCTTATTAAATACGTTTTGATCAAACACAATTAAAATTTAATATTAATAAAATTAATAGAAAATTTTATGTTTATTTAAATATACTTATTTGTTTAACATTATCAACATTATTTATTGTTGCTACACAATATCATTCAGTACAAAATTTTAATTATTTATTTAATTTAAATGAAGTTGTTAATAAAACAATAACAACTTCAATAATGAATGAATCATCTAGTCAAATGAATTCAACTTTAAATCCTACGATAATCAGGTTAGAGAGAATAAAAATTTGAATATCGAATTAATATGAACTAGTTAGTACTAAAGTTTGTCGGATTTTTTTTTTTGGAGCCGGATCAGAAAATTTCTGACACGATGGGAGCTCCGACTAGCACATCATGTTATATACGATATAAGAATAGAATAGAAATGATTAAAGTCGTTTTTTGCTGATATGAAAAAAAATTTTTCGACATTGAGTTTTGTAAAAAAGTTGCAAATTTTGATTAATAGAACAAAAACTTTAATAGACTTACAAAATTTTCTATCATTTCTTCTAAAAAAAAGTATTGATATTCTGTCACCTTGTCCATTGGTCTTTATTCATGTTGAACTTGAAAATGAGAAGAACTTTTAAATGTTTCTCTATTTTATCGAGTTAAATTTCTATCGTTTTTTTTCTTCTAAACTGTTGAGTAATATAAAATTATGTTATAATTGATTGGCTTTAGAGTTGACTGATTCGACGAGTACTCGCTGACAATCTTTGAGAATGGCTTTCTTGAATCCTTCTTCGTTTTTACAGATCTACACAAGGCTGAGATTTTTGGACTTTATGTTTGAAGATAGAAATGATGAACTACATTAAGTACAGAGTTGGCCTTTTTGTTTTTCAACTTTAATATAGTTCTAAGAATCACAATTTTCAAAACTTAACTTTTTGATACCATGCGACTTACTGAACAAATTTTGAAAATAATGATATGGTGAGTTAGAATCATATTGAAATAGACAAAGAAATAACACCATTAGATTCAACAGGGTACATTATTCATTTCTTAATCTGTTTTGAGATGGTCTAAGATCAATTGATCGAAACCGAAAATCTTAAGAAGATTGTCATAATTCTTGCGTGATTCAGTCTCAAAATTTGGGACTTATGTAGTCATTGAAATAAAAAAAAAGAGCCGTTCGCATTGTATTGTCAACAATCATTAATCGAATTAGACAACTTCAAGCTAATCAATTGAAACATAGTTTTATACGCCGGAAATTTCTCTTCTAAATGATGAAAACCAAAGTTCTTCTTTTACGTTTCTATCAAAAGTTATTCAGAAAACAACCACATCCATTGCTTTTTTGAAAATGACAAACTAAAAGAAAAAAAAGATTATTTAAATTAAATTCATTCTATTTTATTGGCAGATAATTAACTATTATAATTTTATTTATTTCGATTTCTGACAAGAACATTTATCTAAACAAATCTATTTAGAAAGTCAAGTATAATTAAATTAAATCTGAACAGTACTCAAAAAGATATCGAAAATGATTGATTTCATTGCATGTTTAATTTTTACTGTCAAGAACAGGAATATCCGACACTAATTAGATTAAAAAAAAACGTTTATGATTATTTCTAGAACACTAATTCATATCGTCCATATACTATTTTTCTTTCAAATCTAACATTAAATATTTTGATTTTTTTTTTTAGTACATTGTCATCGTTTGATCGTCAATATCATGATTATCTTATTTTATCTCCAATCTATGCACTTTATTTATGTTCAATTTATCATCAATGTTCATGGATCATAAAAGCATTTTTTATTATTACTTGTTTAATAGTTCAATTATGTTTATTTGAATATATATGGTTAACAACAAACATATATTTTCCATCAATTCATCCTTTACATCATTATACAACATTTACATTAATTATATTTCATAGTTTTCTTTTAGTAATATCTTCATATATTCGTGAATGGTTAGAAAAAATTGATTTTGTTTGGCTTAAACAAATTGATAATGAACGTTTAATTATAATTCGACAACGTGATGAACTTATTAAACAAACATCATTATATTTACCACTACGTGTTATTGATTATTATTTACGTAGTGATTCTGATTTAGCATTATCTCAACATTATCATATAAAATATGATCGTATGGCATTATTATATATAAATTTTTTATCATTAAATATTGAACATGAATATTTATTGATAAATTATATTAATGATATTGAATATTTATTAAAAAATAATGAAAATTATATTGATATAGTTATGCATAAAAAATCTACAATTAAAGAAATTATGTTTTCAATTGATATAAATACAGATGATTCAATAAAAAATCTTCAACAATTAATTGAACTCTTATTTCATATTGATGAACGTTTAAAACAAATATCATCATCAACAATTAATCTTGCTGCTTGTTTACATATTGGTTGTGTTCATGAAATATTAATACATTTTGAAAAATATCCTAAAATTGATTTATGGAGTGAAAATATTACACTCTTACAATTACTTATTAGTAAAACACAAGTTAATCATTGTATAACAACAGCACCAATTTATCATTTATTAAATGATCTTTATTTATTTCGAACAGCGGGTTCAATTGTTAGCACACAAATTAATACAGCTAATAATACAAATATTTATTATCTACTTGGTCGTCTTATTGGAGATAATGTCTTTCAGGTAAAGAAAAAAAAAAGAACGAAACACTTTGAAAATACAACATTCAATATACATTAAATATTTTATTAGAGAAATTAAAATATGTATGACCTATTAAAAAATATTCTAGAATCATCTTGTTCATAAAAAGTAGATCAAAAATATCTCTATTCAATTTTCTATATTTTTCTAATTAAAAGATATCTTGGAAAGAAATAGTGATATTGTTGACTTTCTACTTGATTAAATCAATCATGGTTATCAAAACTTAGAATCTTACTACATAACAAAAAGTTTTTAGACTACGAGTTAAGCCATTACATTGAGTCTATTGATGAAGAAGATCTTCAAGTGTGAGTTTCTGATTTCAATCGGCTTTATGTCAGTTTTTAAAGTTCGATGAGTTGATCACGATGGAATAAAACGTATTTTTCTGTTAGTTCAGTTCTCATTATTGGAAACTTGAACACAGCATGAGTCTTAATTGATTCTACAATTGAGATAGTCAATATAGGTAGAAATATTAATTACGCCTCTACTTTATATATTTCAATACCATTAATATTGTTGGCGTATAGAATTGAACTATTTTCTCTGAGAATACTATTTAAAGATGTACTAATTAAAGTCTCGTCACTTATCCTGGTTTCAATACTCTGCATTCTATTTAGTTGTTGTCTTACATGTTTCTATGAAAAAATACAATAGATAATGGAAATGACTGAAACATGATAAACGCGGATTTTTATAAATGTTGTAAAATAAATAAATGTACAGTTAGCATTAGATTAATTTTAAAAGAATAGTTGAATTTCGTACATTGACAGTATTAATCCGTATTGAAATTTTCAAAGTATAGACGTACTTTGGATTTCTATTTACGTTGATTATATGATTGTGTGCAGCCAATAAATGTGCATCCGACGTTAAAGTCTTTAATACTGAAAACTAAACTAATGTAAAAGTGGACATTTTCGAAATAACAGCTTACAATAATTTTTCTCAAGTGAAGATCAACCTAACTTTTCAAAGAAAGCCCATAAGAAAGAATACTTTATGTTATTGTGATCTACTTCTCAAATTCTATATTTTGGCATAAAAACGATTGAAAATAGATATTCATACCTGGAAATCTTCTCTCGTCAATGGACGTCACGTAATGATACAAGTTTTTTTTTTGAAAGTTTGTTTTTACCATCGAGAAAGGTTTCCTCATTAATGCATTTAAATTTAACAATAAACTATAGATCTCTTAAATCTAAGCGTGTAGAAACATTGAAAACAAAATTTATTGAAACCAAAAGATTCAATGCTGTATAAACTCTATGTCTAACGATAAAGTCTAATCAACTCAAATAGCAATAATTTATTAAGATTAATTTTCCACTTAGAAAGACTTTTCAATATATGATTCTTGTTGAAATATCTATTTTTCTATAAATTGATCAATTCTTTAATTTTTATTCAATTTACATATGTTTCACATAAAAACATAACATTAAAAATTTATTATTATTTATCTTTTTTTTAAGGGTCGTAATGCTCTTCCATTAACGATTGGTCATACAAATGTTGGTACTGTTCAAAAATCTTCTAGTACAGACGATTCTCATCATTCCCAATCATCTGAACTTCATTGTAAATTAAATTCTCAAAAAGAACAAAATCATACACAAGCATCAACAACAACAACAACAACATCATCATCAATAGTTCTTAATGAACAACAAACTCTTCTTAAACAATCATCATCATCATCATCAGCTCGAAAACATGTTAGAATATCAAATCATCTTTCATCAATTGAAAATCCTTCTTATCGTCAAACACTTTTACAAGCATTAAATGCTACAACAAAAAATAATACCAATAATAATAATACTCAACATCAAATAAGTCCTATTAAAAAATTATCTAATCGATTAATAACAAAAAAAAATACACCATCACCAATACCAAAAGAATTTTATGTACCACGAATGACACATTTAAGTGATAATAGTTGTTGGTCATCAAGAGAAGCTATGATACAATCAGAAACAAGTGGAAGTAAATGTTTAATTTTAACACAACAAATGTTGAATGGATCAACAGGTAAAAAAATTGTTTTCTCTATTTTTTTTTCTCATACTTGAATAATAAATACTCGTTTTTTTTTAATCTTGTCATAGATGATAATAGTCGATGTAAATCAACACCACCACCGCCATCATCAGCTCGAATCTCAGCATCAAATCGTCATTTATCAATTGAACGAAAAAGTTTTACAGAAGAAGATTTTCGTCAATTACTTCAAGAACAATCAACAAAAGATGCTAATAATGCATCTCGAAGTTTATCAATAACAAATGAAGAAACAACTTCATCATTTTCTGGTTGGGATGATATTCCATCATCACCATTACCAAGTATTAAATCTAATCATGTAAACGTTCAACAAAAACAAGAAGAATCTATTAAACCTACATCATCACCACTTGTTGATTGTTATTATCCACGTCGTCCATGTGATCTATCATTTACAGTTAATATGACCACAATTGAAGATGATAATAGTAGTCGAACTGATGCAAAATCAACAATTATTGCTTCACCATCATCAACTGTTGTTACAATTACTTCACCACAGCCTCCACCACCTCCACCACCACCACCACTGCCACCAACACAACCAACACTACCAGTATCTATTGCTAAACCAACTGTTATTACATCTCCATCACAACAACAAATTCCAAGATATCGACCAGCACCATTTAATTTAGCACGTAAATTGATAGCTGAGACATCTGAAAGTGCTCTATCAGAAATTTCCGTTGAATATCACCATGAACCATGGACACAAAATATTGTTTATCAATCAAAAGATCCTCAACGAACACGTCTTTCATCAAGCTATAGTAATTTACATGATTTTTTACAAACAAACGACTCATCAAAGTAAATAAAAAAAAAAAAAATAATAATTAATTATATTTTATTCAAATTCTTTTTTTGAAAATATTTCTAGATATCGTCCTAAACAAATTCAATCACCAACAATAATTCATAGCGATTTATTACAACGTTGGCTTGAAGATCAACTTAATCTATTTCGATATCAAGTTAAACAAACTCCACCATTATCAACAAAAAAAAATAATCGATTTTCAAATAATATTGTTATGAAGAATGATTCAACAGATGATGAGTCAGATACTGTTAGTGAACATACATTTACTGCTTTAACAAATCAATCAAATTCACAATCAAAACCTGTATCATCAAATAAACGTCCATATAATCATGTCAGATATAAACCATTACGAAAAAATTCAACACCAGCATCAAATCTTATTCGACATGAATCTCTTAAATATCGTAATAGACCATTATCATTTGAAAATAATCCTCGATTAAATAAAACATCTTATAATTATCAATCAAATCATATAAAAAAACCTCCTCATCGAACTGATTCATCATCAATGCCTCGTTCAGATTTAAGTGATATATCATCATCTCGACCAGATAATTTATCTGAAAGTGTTATATCAAATCTTGAATCTGAATATGATAATATATATACTCAACCAATAAATTTAAATACAACAACAACAATTATGACTAATTCACAAATTTTAAGTGATGATGATGATGATGAAACTACTTTAGCAACAACAATAACAACAAACAATCGATGTTACTTTTAAATAGGTGTGTTTTGTTTTTGGTCAGTTTTTGTTTTTGTTTTTTTTTTCGTTTTCTTTTTTTTTTATATCTCTTTGATGTGTTGTCATTGAAAAAATAAATGTATGCTTAATAGGACATAAGAATTAAAGCGTACATAACAAAGAATTCGAATGGATTTTATTTTTTATTGATTCATATTTGATCTAATAGAACTGGAAGAGTTGCTGCTTTTTATTTCAATGAAGTAATGTCTTCGCTACAACAAGCGTTCAGATATTCTCTAAAGTACAGATATAACTAAAATCACTTTTTTTTCTCGAAACAGCTCTTAAGTTTTTATAATTTTTTTCTAGTCTTTGAAAATAGTTAGGTCGGCTGACTGTACGAAGTGCTGGTAGAGTCAACTTATTGCTTTTCACTCGCTTAGTTGCCATGACAAATTCTTTTTCTTCTTCTCAACACACGAGTCACGATTCGAGTCAGCCACTCGTTCTCAGCGTTCACGCATAATTTCGAGTTGAAAAAAAAAAGTCTTGACAAGATCATCAGAATGTGACCAGTGCACATCTGAAGTCCATTTTTCGAAATTCGGCGGCATTCGGAAGATATAGAAAAAGTCGAAAACAATAATTAACAGCTGATAGTTTCCTTTATGTGGCAATACATGATTCAATCTTAGATGACCATTCACATGTAAGATATCGAATGCATATATATTTAAATTAATTGCCACCTTGTGCAACTTAAACTCTTCCACCATGAAGTCTCGAATATCAAGAAAACTTTTTCAATGACGACAAGTATTTGAAATAAGCATAGAGAAACAAGATAATTAATAGTTGATACTCTCCTTAGTCTTCTGATTGTCTAGTATATTTTTTCATAAGTGACTCAGCTGATGAGGCAGGCGAATCATCGCTGAAATAAGCTATCCAACTCAACGAAATAAATAGCAATTGATAGGCTTCCTTAAAATGAATGTCGTGTCTGCATTCAGCCGACATTCCATCCAGCACACAGTGCTGAATGGTAGTCTAGTTATTTTTTCTAGTTCAGAATTCAAAACTAAGTAGAAAACAAATTATTTTCTGATATATATAAAACAAATAACGTAAAACAACGTTATTAATATATGTAAGTTTATAGCATATCTTTATAGGCACTTTTGTAAGCATATCTAGTTTATTATGACAGAAGATAAGATAAAATGTCTTATCTCATTTGACGAATGAGACAGTTTGTAATTAGAAAGTATTCATTTTGCTTTATTATTGAGAAAATCGAACATATTCTCATCTCAGTAGTTAAACGATCAAACATGAACTTGTTTACTGAAGTGTTTTTTTTTATCAAAATTCAGTTTAAAATAAATGTGGAAACCTCGGACTTAAGTCCGAGAGTTATGTGTACTTCAAAAAGTGAATGAGACAAATCAGTCATCCTAGAATGCGTCGATATACAAATTAGTTTGGGAAACCTTTTCTATAAACACTTGAATTCTATTGACTACTGTTCAACCAATAGGGTTTGGGGGCGAATACAGCTCAGATTTGAACTCTTCGCCTTANTTAAAGAGCATCATTTTCTCTTTCAAATGACATCTCACTGCTTCCTCTGCAATATTCTATACAAATGTTATAACGTTTTTAGTTGTAAAAACTAATTCAAGTCATACTTTCCAGGAATTTTTTTGTTATTTTGCATTGTATATTTCGAAAGACGTTATAACATTTGTATAGAATATTGCAGAGGAAGCAGTGAGATGTCATTTGAAAGAGAAAATGATGCTCTTTAAAATGCACCAGTTTTCGCGTATTTGATGTGTCGTTTCAGGATTGAATTTATTAAAAATAATGAATAGTATATCTAATTACACCTGAACATACTCTGAAAATCACACGAAAACCTCATCAAATTCATTGCTTTCCAAATGGTAATTATAGAGTTTTGTTCAGTTTTTTATGCTCTTTCAAATGGTACAGTTGGAATTTAAAAATAAATCGAAATTTTATTAATTAATTAATTAACTGCAATATAAGTATAAGTGCTTGTTACCAAAATGTAGCCCCTTAAATTCTGCATCGAATGGTATAGAAAACATCTTTCAGATGTTGTGAAATAACGTCAAAATTAGCCAAATACTAAAAGTGTGCTAAACTTTTTCCCTACTTTTTACTACAGTGTTTAGTATTTTGACTATAACATTGTCATTACTCAATGAAAATCAAAAAGTTTTTTTACCAAAATGATCAGCGAAAAACGTTCTACAAAATTAGATATAAGAGAAAATTTTTAGAACATCCTTATTATTCGTTTATGTGTAAAAATAAAAAAGTGCATGCTTTTTTGGGTCCTCACTGAAAGCCTGAATTTGTGAGAAAACTTTGTATGCTGTAGACGAAAAAAAAGGGTGTTGCTCGGAATGAGTTCTTCAGCTGTTGATTTCGAAGTCATTGTAAAACACGATTCAAATAACTACTAGCTTACCCATCAAGATAACTTTCGGGATATTTAATCATCAGAAAACAAGCACATACGATAAGTAAAAGACTAAATATAACTCGATTGACTAAGTGAGAGGTTGTTAATATTCCAAACCATAATATATAGATTTGTTTTTATCTTTGATTTTTGTAATAATGATTAGAAGACTTTCATTGATTATAAATAGATCATTTATAGAAACGTGCAATTATGATAAGTAATAATATATTCGATGTAATAATTGTTGGCTGTGGTCCATCTGGTATTGGTGCTGGAATTGAATTTAAAAAAATGAAATCTAATATTAATTATCTTATTTTGGAAGCACGAAATAGAATTGGTGGTCGAGCATTTACTGATATAACAACATTCGGTGAAAACATTCCAATTGATATTGGTGCTCATTATATTTGTCATCATGACGCAGAAAATTTTTTACATAGTTATTATATTCCATCAAATGATGATTTTATTGAATCTGATTCTTATAATACATCAAATATGAAAATTTTTGATGAAAATGGAAATATTATTTCTGATAATATTATTAATAAAGCAATGAAGATTGTTGAAAATTTATTATTAATTGTTAAGGAATATCCAAACGAAAAATCAGATATATCAATATCAGACTTAATTGATGATCAATTAAAAAGAATTTCCAATGAACAAATTCGACGTGTTGTTCAAATGGGTCTTAGTCATACAGAACGTCATGAAGGTTCAGATTTAAATAAACTTTCATGTAAATATTATGGAAAAGGAGAAGGTGATCATCAAGAATTTTATTTATCTATTACTAATGGTTTAGGTTCATTAGTTAAAAATATTGCCTTAAAATATAATCTTCCTATTAAATTAAATTCCATAGTAACTAATATTGATATTTTGAGTGAATATGATGGAATTGTTCGAGTTTCAACAAAAGATAATAATACATATTTATGTAAATATGTTATTTTAACAATTCCACTTGGTTGTTTAAAATCAAATTCAATTATATTTACTCCATTATTACCTCAATGGAAAGAAGAAGCTATTCAGAGAATGGGTTTTGGTTTACTTAATAAAGTTTATCTTCAATTTTCTGAGATATTTTGGGATGAAAATTTACAAAGAATTAACATTGTTACCGATCGATTTAAATTTTATTATTGTTTACCACAATATCGTATGTTGGTATTATGTATATTTGGATATGTAGCGAGACAATTAGAACAAAAAACAGATGAACAAATTGTAGAAGAAGTATTTTATTCTCTTCGTCATATTTATCCTAATATATCTTATCCAATAAAATGGTTAATAACACGATGGGAATCTGATCCATTTTCTAAAGGTTCATATTCAAGTTTTCATCTTGGATGTGATTTAAAAACTTTAAAAGAATTATCCATAGAGACACATGCCGGTCGTGTACATTGGGCTGGAGAACATACGAATTATGATGGGTCTATTGGTTATGTTGATAGTGGATTTGAAAGTGGAATACGTGAAGCGAAGAAAATTCTCAACAAACTTCAACTATCTGCATAAGCCAACATCAACTATGTATGGTTTTCTATAAGTGTTCAGACTTGATAAAGAGACTAATCCCTAGCAAAACATATATATATAAGATTTAAGTAGTCATATAGATTTTTCAAAAAACATGCTAATAAATGGCATATCTTTTCTGCTAATAATAAAAAATATGCAGATAAGAGTGTGACGATTAATTTTCAAAATCGACCATGAAGAAATTTATCAAAAACAAAAGAAAAATGATTTGTTCTCTAAATACACATATTAATCAGATAAGATCAGAGGTGCAGAATCTGCCCTGATTTTCAAAAATTTCCCCGCACGATGGTGTCTTCCCCCAGCTATTTCCCCAAAATTCTCCTATGAATCGAAAATTTCCCCCACACGGCCGTACGCGCACACGGGTAGATTCTGCACCTCTGGATAAGATAAAGATTTCATATAGCTATCACATATTTGTTCTCCATGACTTGTTATTATTTACGTCAAGTCTCATAGGAATCTGACTAATTACTTTTTTACTATTTCTTTTTCATTCTTTATTCAATCTTGTCTTAAGCTGTTTAAACCTTGAAAAATAATGGACTCTTGTAAACCACATGACTAACGGTTGCCGTTTCTGATCACCCAAAAAATCAGAAAATTAGCACTACTGGCTGTTTGCATTACAAAATAACACGAATCCAAAAATGATCATATGTATGGTTTAATGATAGATCAGCACGTCTCACGAGGGAACGTTCCCAGATATTTTTTTCGAATTTCAACGAAAACTATATCGATTTGTCACGTCAAGTGTTGTGATCTCAAATATAGACAAATTAACGGTTGAGAATAATTCAATAAAAAAAGTTGCAGTCAAAATAGTTTTTGACTAAGACGCAAAAGAGGATTACGAATGAAGTTTTTTGAAGACAAAAAAGTTCGCAAAAAAATCTGAAACATTGATACTTTGACACAGTTTTTGGTGCTATTCCCAAATATGTTATTAGTTTTGACTCATATTGTATTTTTCTGATCGAAACCTCTTAAACAACAGTCGAAACGATAAAAAAATCATGCCTTGAAAATAGTCTTCGATGCTGTTCAGAACTAACCTTTTTTTTGGAGTTTGAAAGATATGCGATTCTAGCGTTTAAAAAGAGCTATGGATTGGTATATGAAGATTTACATGAACTGAACAATGTGATTCTCTATCGATAGACAAAACAACAACCACAAGAGAATTTTCAGCTAACTCACTACTGACTACCAATGAAATGAAAAATAGAAGATGCCAATACAATTTTCTCTGACAGATTTATTCTTAAAAGAATCGATTTAGAATTTAATTCTCTATTCGATGAGATCATTCCGCAACGAAAGTGTTGTTGCTGTGGAAAGATTTCAGCAAGATATGTCATGATTTCGATGATTGCGTACTAAGATTAGTATTTTGGATTGCTATCACCTCAAATATTATTAAATCAATTTGAAACTACTACCAAACGACTCACCATAACATTCTGTATCGAAGCATGAATGAATTTCAACAATTCAAGTACGAATCGATTTGATCTGAACATTATAAATCGTAACAATTTACAATGCAAACCATTCCAATGTAAGTTACATACTATTGCATAAAGAAAGAGTAGCTCCACAAACTGCTTGATCCTATTTTTTGTCTACAATAAATATTTGAATAGCAGGAAAATATTGCTTGATCACTTGATAATGACACATAGGTATATCGATTTTACTAAACTATTCGGTTTTTTCTAGAAATACTGTTTGATAGTAGACATAACGTTTACATGCCCAACGAAAGAGTCGATTAAAAAAAGCACCAAGTTTTTCTTTTAAATGAGTAGAAAGATTGGTTTCTTGCCTAGTGGTGATCAGAAGGATATTTTGCTATTGTTTATGATTAATGACAAAAAAGCGATCGAAACAAAGGACACAATTACAATTACTACAGCAAATGAAAGAGAAGTATTTTCGCGTTGGCACTGAGGATGTGGATATGGGTGTAGATCTTCTTTTCAGCGATCCAGCCACCTTAATTCTTACTTGCGTCTCGAATATCTTAAACTCTCTCTCGGACAAAAAATGACCCTTCTCCGATTCATTTTTTCATCACCATCTAATATGCTGTGTTAAAAAAAAATATACCACAAGATGCAGAGTGAAAAGCTCTACGATCTACAAAAGACAGCTTATTTTATAATTGAACTTTTTGTTTTCAAAAAGTTCAAAATTTCTAAACCATAATTTTTGACACTTCGAAAAAAATAATGTTTTTTATACGTCGAATTCGTTTTTTCCTTGTTTCATCTTTTTACCACTTGATATTCTTTACGAAAATGAAAACAAAATGCATCGCAAGATGCAGCATGAAAGGTTCCACAATTTACAAAGAGCAGTTTATTCTATAGTTGCACTTTTTTTCTCAAAATGGACAAAATTCTGTGCCACTAATTTTTGACCCTGCGAACAAGATCATTTTTTGGTACACGATCGATTTCTTTTCTTATTGTTTTCGTTAATGAGTTGTATCGAAAGTCATATTCGATGATCGGACAATGGGATAAAGTTAAAAAACATGATTTATTAATTCTTTTCGTATTGGCAAAAATTAATGGCTCAGAATTTTGTCCATTTTGAAAACAAAAAGTGCAATTATAAAATAAACTGTCTTTTGTAGATGGTAGAGATTTCCACGCTGCATCTAGTAGTGTGTTTTTTTAACACAGCGTGTTAGGTGATGAAAAAATAAATCGGAAAAAGGCATTTTTTTTTCTCCGAGGAAGCGTATCACGAAAATGATACATTTTTGTATTTGTCGAAGACAAATCTGAAACAATAAACCAGTGAAAAGGGCTTCATATATGTATATATATATATATATATACGTGTAGTTTAACTTATACTCTATCCATGGTTATGTAAATAAAGATATAATAATAAAGTATAGAGAAGAACGAGCTATTAGAAACAGTTACTTTTTTTTTGTCCCTTAGAGACTAGGTGGGGTGTAGGTGTGTGGGTGTGGGCGTGTTTTCTTAATTACACACCCACCCACACCCACACCCTGTCATTCCTCTTGTCTCACTCATTCCAGATGTCGAACAAATAGTTTGGATTTCTAAACACAATTGCAATGATTCAAAAGATGGTTTAACTATTGATGAGTCTGCATCCATTATGTCTTATACAATGGAATGGCAACCATATGAGAAATCTTTCTATGTTATGCTTAACAGTACTCTACGAGCAAGCGTTCGCGAAAAGCTAAAGCCATGGTTTTTATATCTTTGATTCATCATCAATGCTCTTCAAAAACTTCCATCAACTCATCGTGTTGTTTATCGAGGTGTCAAATCAGATTTTTCGACAGAATATTCTCGAGGAAGTACAATTATTTGGTGGGGCTTCTCTTCGTGCACTGTGTCAATTGAAACACTTGAGAATGAGCGTTTCTTGTGAAAAGAACATTCCTTAGCATTGAATGTGAATCAGGCAAAAATATGCGATCACATTCATTTTATGGTGAAGAAGACGAAGTTTTGCTTCTTCCTGCTCGTCAATTTGAAGCCATTGGATGTCTTAATCAAGGAAATGGTCTCCAAATTATTCAATTAAGAGAAACAAAACCAAAATTTCTGCTTATCAAACTGAATGCATCATAAATAAATGTGGAAACCTCGGATTTAAATCCGAGAGTTATGTGTACTTCAAAAAGTGAATTAGACAGATGAGTCACCCTAGAATGTGTGGACATCAAAATTATTCTGGCAAATCTTTCCTATAAACATTTGACTTCTATTGGCTATTGCTCACCCCATATGACTTGGGGACGAATACAACTCAGATTCGAACTCGTCGTCTTGATTTACCCTAAGAAAGTCGTTTTTTTCTATCACTTGATTTCTATTGGTTACCCCTCAACCAATAGGATTTCGAGGTAAGTGGAGTACAGATTCGAGTTCTCCAGCCCAGAAAACCTCAAAGTATCATCTCTGTGATCAGAAGATTGAGCTCTAATTGTGGATCAATTAGAGTGTGGACGAAAACAGAACCAATTACCGTTTAGTTATCTTTGTAATCGTTGAGTTAATCTTCTTGTTTCTTTATGTTTTATATACCATTTTGTAGAGCGTGAAATTCTCTATCGAATGGTATATAATAGTTGGAGTTTTATTTGATTATGATAGTAAAAGTTTTTTACGAAAGTGAGAATAGGTCGATTTTCCTATAGGAAGCCATAGGGAAAAATGACTATTTTTGCAATAACTCAGGAACGGCTCGGCCAATCATGCTCATCTTCGAACTTGACCGAGATATTGTTAAGACTGAACTGTGTAGAAAATTTCATGACAATCAGACTATTTTTTCAAAAGTTATCGTGTAAACGGACGACCGGACACACTGACCGATTCTAGAGTGTACTCACTTTTTGAGTACACAAAAAACAATATTTTAGCACATATTGTTTCAAATGGAAAATCGACCGACTTAAGGGAAGATCTCACAAGCAAAATTTCATAAGAAAAATGCTGAAGAAGAGTACAAATGCGTTTGTCATTGTCAAGTAATTTTGCTAAAATATATATGGGCCGGTGCAAATTTTCATATTAACTCTGAATATGTTGTTTATGTTGTTTTTCAAGTGAGTTTTGATCATGAAAACTGAAAGAATATATTCATAACTAGCTCTTAAAATTGTTCATATAGGGTTTGTTTAACGTTTCACCCACGATAGGACCTAAAATGATATATTATTGATTACAAGTAGCTTATAAAGAGCGTAAGTAATTAAAGTAACGCACAACACGAAGTACATCACCCAATAAGTAAAGATCATATGAGTCATGAGCGACGATTTTCGCAGCGTCAAACCCCTTTTTATATCCAAAAAGAATGAGTAAATCATTGACTAATGAATTACTTAAGACGTGTAGAATAGAACAGAATTATATCAACATGATTCTGTGGAAGGTAAGACTAGCATGATGCTTATGCTCAAGAAA